AAAAAAATTTTTAGTTCCAAATTCTCTTCCTCCCTCTTTCCCCTCTATCCTCCCTTACACAGTAAGCAAATTGGTACAGGTTCTACATGTACAATCATGCAAAACATATTTCCACATTAGTCATGTTGTGAAAGAAGACACAGACAAAAAAAAACCCATGAAAAAAATGAAGTGAAAAATAGTATGCTTTGATCTACATTCAGACTTCATCAATTCTTTCTCTGGAAGTGGATAGCATTTTTCATCATGAGATCTTTGGAATTATCTTACTTCATTATATGGCTGAGAATAGCTAAGTCTCTTTGGGATACAGAGCTAGCAGTGGTATTGTTGGGTTAAAGGGTATGCATGGTTTTATAGCCCTTTGGGCATAGTTCCAAATTGCTCTCCAGAATGATTGGATCAGTTCCCAACTCTACCAACAGTGTATTACTGTATCAATTTTCACACATTCCCTTCAACATTTGTCATTTTCCTTTTCTGTCCTATTAGTCAATCTGACAGGTGTGAGGTATTACCTTAAAGTTGTTTTAATTTGCAGATGACCATAGATAGCTTTGATTTATTCTGAAAACTGACTGTTCAAATCCTTTGACCATTTATCAATTGGGGGATGACTTGTAGTCTTACAAATTTGACTCAGGTCTCTACATAATTGAGAAATGAGGGCTTTATCAGAGATACTTGCTGTAAAATTTTTTTTTCCAGCTTTCTGCTTTCCTTCTAATCTTGGTTGTATTGGTTTTGTTTGTGCAAAACCTTTAATTTAATGTAATTGTAATTATCCATATTATATCCTGTAATACTCTCTATTTCTTGTATGGTCATGAATTCTTCCCTTCTTCCCAAATATGATAGGTAAACTATTCCTTGCTCTCCTAATTTGTTTGTGGTATCGCCTTTTATGTCTAAATCATGTACCTATTTTGACTTTATCTTGGGATATGGTGTCAGATATTGGTCTATACCTACTTTCTGCCATACTGTTTTCTAGTTTTCCCAGAAGTTTTTGTCAAACTGTAAGTGCTTGTCCCAAAAGTTTGGGTCTTTGGGTTTGTCAAGCTATAAACTCTTGATATGCTATAGGAGCAGCCCTTTGATATACATAGGCCTTGCTATCAACAAGGATGGAATTATGTTGAGTAGACCCAAGGCTTGTTGGCTTAGGTTGTCTCATTTTTATATAATGGGAAGCAGTGGTTCTACAGAAGTACTACAGTGGTAAAAAAAACAGATGGCAATTTTAATTGCTGGTGAGCTTTTTATTTCCCCAGGGGCCTACAGACATACCTTAAACTTATAGTGCCACCTTGATGTAAAATATCCCATCCTCTTTCACCACCCCCTGGAACAAACTTCAACTTCCTACAATGCCTCCAGACTTATAGTGCCACTCTGTGGTTAAGACCCCTGTAACAGGGGAAATAACCAGGGTCGGTGGCCCTTTGTCCTGTGTGTGTATATATATATGTATATGTCCCGTGTGTGTGTGTGTGTGTGTGTGTGTGTATATGTGTGTGTGTGTGTGTGTGTATATATACATATATCTATATATCTATAGCTCTTTGGCATGATCCCGAACCTTGCTCTACCACTGCCTGACATGCACTACTTTTGAGGCTTGGAAACTCCACCATTAGGACATTACACTCTGTCTTTATCTCTGTAGCTGCCACTAGCAGAAATCTAAAATTTGACTTTAATTCATGATGACCAACAAGTATTTATTAAGCACTTACTCTGTGCCAGGCCTGGAGCTAAGTGCTGGGAATGGAAAGAAAGTCAAAAACTTGGTCCTTAAGAAGTTTACATTCTAATGGGGGAAACAATACACAAACAGGTATGGATATGCAGGCTATATATAGGGTAGTTGGAAGTTGTCTCTGATGCAAGACAAGAAAACTGGGAGAGGGTGGGGAACTGGAAAAGGCAGAAGGTATGATTTGAGCTTAGTCTGGAAGGAAGCTGGGAAAGCCAGGAAGCTGGGGGGAGGAGGGAAAGTGCTCCAGGCAGGAGAGATAGCCAATAGAAAGAAATGTAGTCAGGAGATGGAGTGCTACCTATGAGGAATAATAAGAAGGCCAGTATTGCTGAATTATAGAAAGGGAGTGTGATGTGTAAGAAGCCCAGAAAGGTAGGAAGAGGCCAGTTAGTGAAAGACTTTAAAAGTCAAAAAGAAGATTTTTTTTATATACTTGATCCTGGAGGCAAAAAAGAACCACTGGAGTTTGCTGAATGGGGGGGTCATATCTGCATTTTAGGAAGATTATTTTGTCAGTCAAGTGGAGGATTGACTGGAATGGGGAGAGACTTCAGGCAGAGAGGTCAAGCAGGCTATTGCAGTATCTTAGGTGTGAGATGATTCAAGCCTCAGTCTAGGATGGTGTCTGTGTGAATGGACAGGGCACTTATAAAAGAGATTTTGCAAGAGAAGAAATAACAAGACTTGGCAACAGAGTGAATATGTGGAGTGAATGTGAGTGGAAGTGAAGAGTGAAGGATGACATTGAGGCTGTACGGGTGATAGGGAAAATGATGGTACCTAAGATGGGAGAGTTTGAGAGAACAGATACGTGAGTGCTATTTTGGACATGTTGAGTTTGCGGTGTCTGCAGGAAGTATAGTTTGATATGTCCAGTAGTTAGTGGGTGATTCACTAGGTTCTGTCACATTGTGATGTGTAAGATAAGATTCCTTGCTCTTGCATTTACTTTTAAAGTCTGCTTCAGGGAGGCCAAATGGCTATCATAATGACGGGCGTACCAGATAAGGGTTGACATGAGATGGATAGTCATTGTCATAGACTATGTTTCTGAAGTGTTTCCTTGGCAAGTAGAAGAGTCTGACCTTGGACTCCTAGCCAACCTGCATGGCTTCTCTGAGATGGAAGTATTCCTTATTTCTATCTTTTTTCATTTGTCTTTAAGGATTGTGTTAAGAAAAGGCTAATCTTTTGTGAACTTTGAGGATGATGATGCTGACAGGTCAAATCACTCTTATTCTTGAGGTGCTGGGAATACTGTCTGCACTATTTGAATGTTCTTATCAGTCCCTTAATGGTTTGGGGGAAGAAGAGAAATTAGATAGCAAATGATTCATTAGGAATATGGACAGACTGCCCCCAAACTTTTATGCTATTAGGAGGTTTCCAGATTGGTTAAAAATGAGTCTGGGATAGGTAGAACAGTCTAATGAGTTTGATCTAGAGGCCTCAGGACTCCCTAGTACCTTTAAGAGGGTTAAGCAGTACTAAGTCTGTACCATTGGCTTAAGCCCCCACTGATATCTTCTCTCAATTTTAGGGGTCCCCAGCACTTCAGTTCCATTTAACTGCTTAACAGTCAGATTAGTTTTTATAAAATATATTCACTTCAAAGGTATAGTGAAGACAAACCTCCCCCCACACTCCCAACACCTTGGGGGCAAAGTCCTCCTAAGCCATCTCAGTCTCTGAGGAGTGGAGGAGAATTGAGTTCTCAGCTTCACTCGGCTCTTACACTGTAGAAGTCCCATCAAGTTCTAAATCCCACCAAAGGCCTCCAGAGACTAGCTCTAACCAAAACCCTTAGCTTCTCAGGGCTTTCCCTCTGGGTTGGCCATAATATCCAGCCTGGGATCCTAGCTTCAGGATTGCCATGGTTTAAGCTCTCAATCTGGACCTCTACTCCTTGAACCTAGAATTGAAAATGACAAATGAAATAGACCAAAACCCCAAACCCGTTTCTTAGGGCCATAGGGCCCAAGGGGGTAGGGAGAAGCTAAGCCCTGCATGGTGTGCATCATGCCTGTAAAGAAGACCTTCCCTCTTGGATACCACTGGAAAGAAAGAGAGAGAGAAAAAAATGGCAGCTATGTGGCCAGTGGAAATAGGCAGCTCTTGCTCA